CACTTTACTTTTAGAAAGCACAAAGAATGTTTGGCATCAGGCTCATGTTTCTCTCAACAATCCTTTAGAAACAAGCAAAGCAAATGTAATTTTAATTTTACAGATGAGGAAACTGAAAATCTGACAGGTTAAAAGAATCAGCCAAAGTCACATAGGTGATTAGGGTAGGGCTGGATTGCAGAGTGAGCCTTCAGATTTTCACCCTTTCTATAATTCCTGCTACCATATGCACCTATGGTACCTAGATGTCTTTCTGACTTAAACCCCAGGCTCAAATAGGTTAATGAAGGTAATAAGTTAAGGTGGTAGGTAACTGACTTCCTTTCCTGGAACAGCAATCAAAGTCTTCTCCTGGCCCAAAGGGAATGTTTCTCCACAATGACATTTTTTTTCCCTTGGGATTTTATATTACTTAGGAAGACTTTCTTGACTCACTGGGTGGAGAGTTTCATCTAGGACAGTGGTGGTGAACCTATGACACATGCGCCACTGTGGGCTGTTTGTATCATTGAAAGCTCTAAAAGGTTCACCATCACTGATGTAGGATGATGGTTATCTGTCCAGGAGGGGCTGTAGGACATCACATTGAAAACTGGATTTAAAGAAATCATGTTGCTAATGAGATGACTGGATGAGTGGTCTGTTTGGGTGGGCTCAGTTTTGTTTAATGGGATGTTCTATTTCAAGCCATCTGGAATGCATATGCAGTTTGCCACTCTGGAAGACTCTAAAGTTGGGTCTATATTGGTTTTCAATCCACAAACAGAATGAAACAGATTCTGCTGATTCCCTGGGTGCTAAGAACTATGTGGTTACCTTCTGATTAAACTCTTCAAGGATTATCTCAATATCAGTTTCATAGGCATGAAACGGGTTACACTCACAATGGTGCAAAAAGCCTAATGCTACTGGTCTCATTTGTATGGAAAGGAAAATTAAGGGACATTTCAAAATATTAGTCAAGTCCTCCTTGAAAGTGAGATTCCCATTTGATGTTGTAAAATGTGGTCCCTTATGATCCTTTTCTTTTGGCTTTTCTTCTTTTTCTTTTTTTCCTCTGACATAGAACACAAAGCCCTCTTCTACCATAAATCGAATCTATGCAGCGTCAGAAAATAAATAAATAAATAATTGATACTGTTGTATTAGTGTAGTAGTATACTACAAAGTATAGTAATATTCCTGTTCTATGTGTAGAGAAACTAAAGTTAGACCATTTCAATTTTCAGACTAGGGAATGTGCTAAATATTCCTTGATTACAGGGATTGCTGATCAAAAGATTCGAGGGGCACCAGAGTAAGAGTTGCATTTGATTGATTGCCAGAGTAATGTACAACTCAGATGCTACCTGAATTCTAGCTTCATACTGTAATTGCCTTAAATGTATATTTCCAAACTCTGTAAGACTTACATCCATTTAACTCAGTTTATGTTTTTAATTAGAAATGTCCAAATAAAAGATATTGAGTGGAAACATTTGAAAGAAATCTTGAACCAAAACATAAAGGATCTCTAGAAGAAACATCTGTGGGCTTTGGTTGTCTCATCTATGAAATTGCCCCACCAATTCTAAGAATAAAGCTAAAACATCTGCAGTGTATTTAAAATGTATGAAAATATCATATAGTTTAAATCCTCATTGCCATGACTATTGTGAATCAACTAAAAAAGAAATGAAGTTATATAAGAAGGGAAATAGGGTGCATTGTAGGAATTAAATTAGGCAGCTGTCTTTTGACCAGGAAATTCTCTTCTCATGCTGCTGAGCATTCTCTTGCTGATCTGCTCTGCTTTTGTAGGAAGAGAATCATGCTCTTGCTAGCACAGAGAAAAATTCTGGTGAGCTCCCCCTTCTACCCGCTCTTGGTCTCTTCAGAGATCCTAGCTGCCTGAGATTTTCAGTAAAATGATATCTGAGTTTAGTGCTGAGCCAGAACTCCCAGATAACACTCCCTCTTTAGCCTTGTGCTGTCATTAAGTGACCAAAATTGATACAATATCTTTGGTGGAAGACACACATGCTGCTTATTCAGCAGCTAAGCCTGACCACTCAGACCTCCAGTACCATTTGCCAACCAAATTACTAAGTCAGAGCCAACAAATATGCCAAGCCCAGGTAAGCTGTACTTTAAGCCATATATCCAACAGGCACAGACAGAAAAATCCTTGGGTATACTTTCAATCTGGGGGCTAGGATGAAAAGGGGTGTTGGAACCTTTCATTAACAAATCACTAAGCTCTAAAGCCCCAGAGTGTTCTTGGAAGCAAATGCTAACAAATGAAATTCAGTCAATATGTGTTCTATAGGCCAAAGCTACTACCAAAATTTTCCTTCTGCAAAATGTGTACACTGCAGATTTTTGGCTGGCTTTTTTCAGCCTGTATTCCTCAATAATGGAATCAACCTTACTAATGTATCAATCATCAATATCTGGTGACTCAGTGAAGGTTAGTGCTCACTTACTGAGCAGGGAGACTCCTTTTAAGATGGTGGGGAAGTGCTTTGTTTTTTATTTATATTCTTAAATTTATATTTTAGGAGATTCTATGATCACGGGGTTATAGTCCTTTTGGTAAAGCTCGGTCTGAGTAAATTAAAACTGCAAATCATGGAAACATGGAAATGAAAGACACACTAAAGTCCCCGTGAGGCATAATCATTCACCCTTAGGGTCTTGTATTCCTGTACATCCTAAGGCTGTCAGAGGAGCAAAGACTGAAGTCCAAGTCCCCCAAACTGTGGTAACTGTGAGTTTTGATTATTTTACTAATCATAAGACTGACATATAGGAGTCTTATTGAGTAGCTCTACTTGTAAGTTCACCTTGGCCATGAGAAAGAATGGCCTTTTGAAGTTAAGTTTATGGATGTGTAAATACAGAATGTTGCATCTTTGCCTACATATCTTCATAAAGTGTAAATTAATGCAGATCTTAACTAGGCATTTGGAACGCTAACCTAGTTTTCTGTGTTCAGCTAATAGCTAGCAATTTTGCTCACACTTTTATCCTCTCATTACGCAGCAGTGATGATTATTTAGTAAATATATGTGAAAGGCCACACACTCCACAGCACTCTGCCTGTGTTGGAAATAATCCCCTCTTAATGTTTCTATTTGAATAATTTATTGGCTAATACAGCAAATCAAATACAGCTATGATAGGCATCCCACTGAGGCCTCTCTCAGAGGCTAAGAACAGACTCCTCCTCAGCTTCTTTCCTTATGGCACTACCTGACAAAATGCAGGGCAAAGGCTGGGGACAAAGAGGCAGCCAGGGGAATCCAGAACCTCTGTGAATGTTACCTCTTTGTAGATCTTAAAGGAATATAGAAGGTTTATTGGATGTGAAAATTATTCATGGTGCTGGAGGAAGGTAGAGAAAGGCTACTTTATAACTAGTGAAATACTGTGGAACAAGAGGAAGAGTTTGAAATAGATACGAAGAAGAGAAAGATGTAAAATGTGGCCTCGGGAGATGCTCCCGAGACCATTCCTGAATGTATGACTGATGTGAACCCTTACAAGTCATCTGGGGGCTTTTATTCATAAATGTAGGATTGAGTAAAAGAGCTTCCGCTGGAGGAATTAGGGTGGCCCCAGGGCACTTTTTCTTGTCTTCCAGGTACACAACATAACTCACAGAGCCACATTTGTAGCAGGGTGGCCAAGCCCGAAATAGGGCCACGTCAGGTAACAGATTCCCATTCCTGCCTTAGTAGGACAGAGTTGAAACTAAATAGTGATATTTGGAAGGGGTCCAGGGTAAGGGCAGAGAGAGGGTTTTTACTATCCAGAATCAGGTCTGGCTCTATGGGGTGGGGACAGCTGTCCTTTCACCTCACTGATGTTCAGCTGTATCTGCTCAGAGGGGCAAGGTTCCTGCTCTCTTCTGGTGACTTCATGGAAGTTGTCTCAGTCCCTAATTCTGCACAGGGAATGCAGGCAGTGCAAACAGGCTTCACCATGGGTGCTTAAATGGCAGGTGTGGAGGGAAATGGAGTAGGTGCTGGCCAATGGGGGGAGCCAGGAACTGGGGAATGCTGCTGGTCCTGGGGCTTCTCCTCAAGCTCCCTCCCATTCCCAGTGTCCTGCACCAACAAAGACACTGCTCAGAAATCACAATTCCTCCCAACACACAAACATCCAGGCACAGGCGTGCACCAGCCTGCCCTCATCCACCTCCATGCCCTGGGTTCTCATTTGCTTCCCAAACACCAGGCTGGCACAAGGGGCGTGAGTGAGACCAGTGTCTGAACCTGCACATCCTTGCTACTGGGGATTAAGAATGATCAGGGTCTAAAGCAGTATTTGTGATACTGTGTTATTTCAGGTGGGTTTTTTTTTTTTTCTCTTTTATTTGGGGTGGAGAAGGGCGTGCCACCAGGTTTCAAATGTCACAACCCAAATGTCTGGGGGAAGGCAAAGAGGACTTTCACATCTTTCTGGTCCCTGCTGGATGGAGAAGAAGGGACACACTAGTCCGCATCTTCCCCGCAGCCTCTGGAAAGTGCACAGATGCCAGGTCACCGATACCAGGGCTGGGCTCTGCGTCCATTTTGCCAGCCAGGAATCACCGAGTTTGGGAACTTTGAAAGCCAGGGGATGGAGGTGGGGGTTGCCGAGTGCTCAGATTTCGGCGCCAGAGTTCTCAGCCAGGGAAGCAGTTGAAAACCAACACCCATCTGCCTCCTTTTTCTTGGTCCCCAACGCTTCTCCTTTCCAGGACTCCACACAGATCCTGCCCCCAGCACAGACACAAGCGGGGGGGGGGGCGCGCTCGCACACACACACACACACACACACACACACACACACACACACACACACACCTTGGGGCTCAAAAGGCTTCTGATTCTGAAAACAGCAAACCCGCAGGACCCAGAGGGTCTGTGCCACCCCGTCCTTCCCCGACCCACGTCTTCACACCAGAAACCCCCAGACATGCCAAACATCACAGCGAAATCCGAACCCGCGCATGCCTCCAGCTCGTCCCGTACCTGATATGCAGACGATGAAATTGGCTTGAAGCAGAAAAAGCACCTCCCAGACTATTTCCATCCTCTGATTCTCATTCCAAGTGCATCACTCGACGGGAAAACCGGGGGAAGGGGGGAGCCCGACACGGCGCACACACATACACACACGCACGCACTCCCAAGCGAGCGCTCACTCGCGCTCCACCCGACAGCCGGCCGGGGACAGTCACCCCCAAGATCAATATCGCAGTTTGAATTGTTCCGGCAAATCTCCCCTCGGGCTCGACGGACGTGCGCCCCAGATGTGCTGACACATGTCCGATGCCTCGCTGTCTTCGAGGTCTCCCCGCTCGCGCGTCTCTGCTCCTCGCACCGACGGTGGAAACACTAGCAGCGGTGGCAGCCACCTGAAGCCACCAGCCCTGGGCTCTTCCTGCAAAAACGGGACCCCGATCCGCCTGGCGCCCCAAGAAGACATAGACGATAGCCCCCCGCCGGGCCGCGCCGCGCAGTTCCGGGCCTCGGCGGCAGCTCGCAGCTCGCTGGCTCAGCCCCGGCGTCCGCGACAAGTTGCCCTCGAAGTCCGCCCCCCTCACCGGGGCATGGTCAGAGGGTGGCTCCGCTCGGGGTCGGTCTCCTCCTGCTTCTGGGGGCGGGGAACGAGCAGACACCGCAGACGGAGACAGAGAGAGAGAGAGGCAGGGATTATTGCCCGAAACCGCAGGCTGCCGGCAGCCTCTGCCGACCCCCGTTCCCCAGTCCGCGCGCGCCGCCTTCGCCGCCAAGAGGGGTTCGGGCCACGCGTCCCGGCCGCCGAGCGCGAAGGCGGGGCGCCGGGGCTGGGGCGCGCTGGGGCCCACTGGGTTCCCCACGTCGTGCGCACTTCCTGCTCCTCTGCTATTTTCCTGGGCTCCCTAGAACCCCCGGTTGCCTCTCTTCCATCGCCCGCAACTGGCGCCGCCGCCGCCGCCGAGATTTTCCGCAATGCAACTGCAGGGGTCGTTATTTCCTCGCCTACGGATCCCGAAGCTTCCCGATTCCGGGAGGGGAAGGAGGGCAGGTGGGGGGGGGGGTGAGGGGGCCGGCCAGGTGAGCGTGCTCGCCCCGAGTCCCAGCGTCAGGCCGGCCTCGGGCACCCGGGGACGGAGGCAGCAGTCCCGGGCGGAGAGGAGCGGCTGAGCCGGGCCACAGAGGGAGGAGGAGGAGGCCGGGCGTCTGAGCTTCGGGCCCTGCGGCCGCTGCCGGGCTCCAGCCCCCGGGGGGCCGCGCGCCCCGCCCCGCCCGGCTGCCCGCGGGGCCCTGCAGGGTCTCCGAGTTTCTCTGCTTCCCCGAGAGAACTTCGCGCCCGCCGGCTCGGCGCGGGAGACCAGGGCGGGATCGTCCTGGGAGCGCTACGCGGAGCTTCTCCCTCCGCTGCGGAGTGTTGGGGATTTTTGTTTTTGCATAATTCATTCCCTGTCCTCCCCCTTCCTTCCTTCTCCTGCTCCCTTCCCTCCTCCCCCTTCTGGGCTCCGTTGCGGGAACACCACTTACCCTAGAGTTCTCTCTGCAGCTTCCCAGACCAGTTGCAACTCTTGCCCGCCAGTCCCTCACCTCCCCGCTCCCGAAGGTGGGGAAAACGTCTTTCTAAGTCCGGGTGCGGGTGCTGCCAACTGTGCTTCCACCCAGCTCCGGGAGGATCCGAGCCTGATGCAAACGGGTTTCCCTTCTTGATTTGTTTTCTTGCCTGCCCTGTTTTTCTTTAGCTCTAGCGCTTTGGAGGCTTCCGCCGGGGTTCAGGAGACTGCCCGGGATACCCGGCTGCTTGCGGGGAAGGCGACTTCCCCACCAAGCCCGCGCGCGCGCACTCCGGCCCAGCGCGCGAGTCTCCGCGCCCCGGGGGAGATGGGGGCGGCGCGAGCACCACCCACCGCCGGGCCGCCAGGCCGCCGCGTCCGAGCCCGCCAGTCCGCGGAAGGGCTCTCCGTGAGGCGGGCGGGCCGAAGCTGGGGAAGGACTGGCAGCCAGTTGCAGTGCAGATGCCAAGAAATGGGAACCCTGCGCTCGGGACTGTTCGGCCGGAAGGGCTGGGAGCCAAGGGGAAGAGAAACTGCAGCAGATCGCAGTGCGCCTCTCGCTGCTGCAGGGCTTTGCCAGGAGCCCCAGACCTAGCTCGTGGGGGTGCTGAGGCAGAGCAGGGAAGGGCGAAGGGAATCCCGGGAACGATCTCGGATTTCTCCACGCGCTTGTCCGATTCCGAACTGTGCCATTGGCAGATTTTGCATAAGCGCGGATGGACACCACGCGCGCGCGCGCGCACACACACACACACACACACACACACACACACTTAAGCCGCAGGGATTTTCTGTTTTGCACTTTTAAATTTTTGATGTTTAGAAGCCATCTCGGTGTGAACCGCGCTCTGAGAACCGCACGAAGGATGGTTAAGTGGAAAGCACGGAGGCCAAAGAAAGTACAGGGTCCACCCGCACAAGTCCATCCACTTATCTTCCCGGAGTGAAACTGGCCCGCGGGCTACGCAGCAGCTGAGGGCGCGGCTTGGGCTCCGGAGGAGTTACGCCACAGAGCTCCCAGGAATCTGGCTCGGGCTTGCCCTGCCCAGGCGTCCGGGGTGTCTTTTGGCTGAGTGGCTGGAGAGGAGAGAGCAGAGGAGGGAGGAGAGCAGAGAGCGGCTCTGGGAGCTGTCAGGGCTGCGCGGAGGCCTGCGCGGAGGCGGGAGCGGGGCGTGCAGTCCCGCTGCCTCGGGGGATTCTAAGAACCGCTGGCAGCCTTGCCTACTCTTTCAGAAGGAGGTGTGGCCCAGGGATCCATCCTGTGAGGTGACTGCAGAGGACTCCAGGTGGTCAGCACGTTAGGAATCTAGGCCCAGATGCAATAAATCCAGGACCCCCGTATGGAGCGCCTTAAGGCTCCGCAGCAAAGGTATTGAGACTCGAGACTTAGAAGAATCCGAGTTAGTGGGAATTAGCCCATTTGGGAAGCATATGGGGAGTGTTTGCCTCCGTACCTTGAAAGTAGACTGCTTGAAAGGGATTTGTGAGGGAAGAGAAGAGAAGCATTTTGCCCAATCTGGACAGATCTAGCGCCCAGGGTTCAGAACCGTGGACAGCGACCCGCTTTCTGGGCTCTGGCAGCGGGATTTACAGCCAGGGGGAGTGCTCTTCCCTCTGGAGGTCAAAGCAGAGGGGCTGGATTTTTATACCATGGCCAATTCATTCACTAAAGAATTCTGTAAATATTAAGTGAGTGTCTTATATGCGTCAACTGCTGTGGGAAGATGCCGGTGTCTCGTAATTGCAAATGCATAATCTGTGCTTTTAAAAGCTCATACTCTATATCCCTTTACAATTTGCCTTGTGACCAATGCCTGTAAAATACTACTTCAGTTACTTTTCTTAATCCTGCATACTTGCCTTCTGCACTCTAAAAATATATTTATTTTCTGCCACGAAGTACTTTCAATGGAAAAAAGTATTAGTGAAAAAAAGAGTTTCAAGGTATTGATTGCTTGTTATGGGCAAGGCATTGCCAAATTCCTTACACGAGTTTTCTTGTTGAGTTATCATAATATTCTCTCTTAGTCCACTTGTACCGCTATAACAAAACACCACAGCTAATTTGCAAACTATAGAAATTTATTTCTTACAGTTTTGGAGGCTAGGAAGTCCAAGATTGAGGATCTTGCCCTTGGCTTTCAGTGAGGGCATTGTTGCTTTCCTCACATAGCAGAAGGGGAAAGGGCAAACACCGCCTAGGCTAGCTCCTTTCTGAAAGGTGCTGATCCATTTGTGAGGGTAAGACTCTCGTGACTTAATCACTTCCCAAAAGGTTCCTCATCGCTTAATACTAGCACAATGGGGATTAAATTTCAACATGAATTTTGAAGAAGATAAATCAAAACATAGCCATTGCCTATGAGATAAATATTGTTATTATTTCCACTGTATAGATATAAAACAAGCATAGAATAATTTTTTCAAGATCTTACAGTCCTAATTGGTAATGTATAGATCATACCTGGGCAATCCAAATTTAGAAGCCAGGCTGCACCACCTCCCTACATGCTTTGTAAAATGAAAAATATCATCTTTTGGAGGGTACTTTGTACTTAGAGCAGAAGTGTATACTCTTCACACACCTAGAATCAATTGAAGGAAGGATGAAAATGTAATGGCAGATCATGTAGTTTACAATTTAACTCCCTTCTATTTGGGAGAAGGAAATGATCCTTTGGGATTAGGAATAATCCAAAGCATTTCTAATTAAAAAACATCTGAGTGGCTGCTAGATGCCTATTCTGTTCATCTTGGAATAAAACAATGAATACAACAGTTTCCTAACATTTTTGATCTATACCCATATCTTGATAACTCTAAAATTTCTCTCCCTGAACTTGTCTTCATCTTTTGTCTCTTGCCTGTTCCTCTAGGTTTCTCCACTACAAATCACGTGCTGTGAATTTTGTACCAAGCTCAGTTGTTGCGCGGAGACCAGAGGGTTACAGTTCCACTCGTCAGGAGAGTGTTAAATTACTTTGTGTTCTCGCTCTTCCTTCTCCTTCATTCTGCTCTCTAAAAGAAGGAGAGGCTCATTGGATTGGTAAAATCTGTAGGAGTCCAACATTGCTTAGGGCATGTTTCTCAGCAGCTGGTCACTCTGCTTTAGGTGAAAGAGACCCATTTGTATCTCTCGTGCCTTTATTCTCTTGGTAAACCTGCTGGCACAATGATCTCACAGTGCCTTTACTGTGTATGTCTGCATGTCTTTTCTTTCTTTCTTGAAGTAATTGGGTTTCTGAGACCAATCACAACCATTCACATGCCAGGAAAAGATTATTTAGAACCTTCTTTGTACACCCAACTATCTTTTTGGATGATTTCCTAGTTCTGGATTTGGAGGGAGTGAAAGTGCTGTTTTAATCTTTATGTACAAATCTTTTTACCCAATGAAACTACGTACTACAATACACTTTGGAACATATAAAGCTTCATTTGGTGAATGTGTCACCATCGTTTGAAAATGTTCTTATTTTTAATTACTTTCAAGCCAGGGAACTTCATGATTGGCTTCTCCTAATTT